GTTTTGTCACCACGGTTTAGTCAGGCGCGCTTTTGTGGTGGAACCGGTTGACTCAGCCTTCCATCCTTCCGAGGTGGGAAAAATGAGGACCCAGACTGTGGGGGCGATATGCTGACTCTGTAAACCGCTTAGAGAGGGCTATGAAGGGGTATATAAGTCTAACTGCTATTGCTAGACGGGTTCACAATAACAACCAAATAACCTTTTTTTTCCATCAATCCAACTACATTTTTGGAGGCAGTGACTAATCTCCCCAACGTTTTCTGGGTAGTTGTGAAAAACAAATTGCAGAGAAGATGAATATAACGATTTTGCTAACAAGGGATTTGTGCAAGACACAGGTGCCATTCCCGATCTATATTTTTTAAATTACTGTTAGTACATGCTGAATTGCATCCTTGGTTCGAGTGATATAGTTAGAGGTTTTTGATGTGGGACATGATTATTTTTGTGGCACTACAAAAACTGGCTTGGTTAACAAGAGTAATGACTTGGGAAATTATCTAAGAACAGAGTGATGTCTGTTGTTTTAAAGTTAGCTTTAATTTTTCGTTTGTTTAATAACAGTTGAGTCTTCCTCCGCATCTGAGACTGCTGGATCTCAAACTGCCCCTTCTACCAACATATCAGTGCCAATCCAGCCTCCAGCTCCAATGCCAAGAAAATCACAAATAGTAAGTAGTAAGTAAGCATGTCATTCTCTTAAAAGGCTGCAGTTGGCAGCTGCTGAAACTTAAAGACAATTGTACAGAATCTTAATTTCTTCAGAATCCTTCGATACATTCAGTTTGACCAAGAAACAAACAAGAAGGTATGTTTGGCTTTTTATGTATCCCTCACTTTGGAAGAATTTTCGCTTGAAATCACATGGAGGACTGAGACTATTCAAAGAAAAAATGTTTTTTTGTATGTTGCAAATATAGCTAGCAAGCTGTGAAACTCTATTTATTCCAAGTAGCATCTTTGAGCTGGGAGCTAATTATAAATAATAAATTATAGCTAGGTTTGAATAATAATAGCTGCGTTTTATACCTATTCTGTTTATATCTGCAAGAGACAAAATACTGAATAGGATAATAATCTCTCCTGCCCATCCAATGAGATTCACAAGGAAGGGCTAGCTGTAAGTTCTGTTTATAAAATTGCATCTTTTGCCAGAATCAAAAATATGAGTCTTCACTATTATAACCCCTGCTTTTTGGACCTGTATATCAATCGAGATTCAATCCCATTCAGAGAGCCGAGGTGGCACAGTGGTTAGAGTGCAGCACTGCAGGCTACTTCAGCTGACTGCTAGCTGCAGNATTCCCTGTTTCTATCATCCAGCCATTTGTACCATTTCCCCCAAATTAAATAGTGCTCCGTTTCCCCCTTTCCTTGAATTTCCTTGTCCATCTCTCCGCATTCCAAGATCTTCCCGTATTATCCCATCCTCGTTCGGTATATTGTGTTATTCATTTCATTTCTGCGCATCTGCTATTCTAGCCTCTGTGATGATATGTAGAATTAGGTATAAAGTTTCATTATTGTATTTTGTTGTGGTTAGGACAAAGGTGTTGTGGTTAGGACAAAGGGATCTGGGATCTTTCTTATCAGCACTATTATTGAGTTCAAATGAATCAGATTGGCTGAAATTAGTATTTTTGTATGTGATAATTTTGGGCAGTTCTTTCAGCGACATATAGCAGAACTGCACTACACAAATGTACATATTAGCTCCTTTTGAAACACGGGCGCTCATGTTCTAAAAAAAAGGATCATTGTTTAGATGAATGAAATGTTGGAGATCTTCAGCTGCACATCTGCTGGAGTGGAAACACCTGCTATTCAAAGAATACGTTGAAATATTACCATTTACTTTCTAGCTTGACAAACAACCTCTTGCTCAGGATCCTATAAAATATCTCTCCTTTTAAAGCCCACTTAAACTTTGCATGATCCTGAAATCGGAGCAGAATTAATGCTCTTTTAGGAAGAACAAAGTACCGTACAGATTTTGTTGTAGTGAGGGAAAGAAGTAACACAGCAAAATTGCCATGAATAATAAAATTCAAATGCCTTGCAAATGGAAAAAAAAAAGCATATATTAAGGGCCAGAGGTAATATGAAAAGAAGCATCCAATCTGAATGGAAGAAAAAAAAATATGTGGGGAAAGACTTAATCACAATGCTTCAAACATTCTTTGCCTTAGTCATAAAGATGATCCCGGATTTGTACAAATGTTATTTTCTTTACTGTAAAACTCTAAACAAGTTTCTTTTCATTCGCTCTTTTAATTTGTTTTGCTGTTTCTCTTACTATCTCTCCTACAGGGGTGGGTTGACTGTAAATTGTTCTGCGCATGTGCAGAAACATTCTGGCAACGCCAGAAGAGACCAGGGAACCGGTTTGGGGGCATGGCTGGCCTGGGTCTCTGCCGGTTCTGTAACCCATGCCAAATTACCACTACTGGTTCGGCTCAACCAGACCAAACCAGGGGCAACCCACCTCTGCTCTCCTACCTTTTAAGTATCAGGAGTCTCCAAAAGTGGCAATTTTAAGATTGTGGACTTCAATTTCCAGGCCAGCATGGCTGACCTGGGAATTCTGGGAGTTAAAAGTCCCCAAGTCTTAATATTGCCAAGTTTGGAGTCCACTGTATGATACCATGCTGTCCACAAGGTAGAGATTCCCAGAGAATAGCAATGAAGTGAGTAACTGGCTCTGGACCAAATGCATAATGGAATAAATAGTTAGAAAAAAAAAAATCTACTCAGAAATCACTACAACTAGTGTTGTATAATTATTCACAATCTTCCAGATGTCCTGATTGCTAGCGCTGTGCAAGGATTTGATTTGGAGATATGATTCCCAACCAAACATCAGTTAAATTCTAATCATTGACAAATTTAACCAATTCATTTCAATCGGTATTTGGAATCCACAGGCTTCAACGTTTCCAATCATACGCCCCTATTAAAGCACTAATTTTGGGGTTTAAGAGCTGTGGTGGCGCAGTGCTTAGAGTGCTATACTGCAGGCTACTTTTGCTGACTGATAGCTGCAGTTCGGCAGTTCGAATCTCACCAGGCTCAAGGTTGACTCAGCCTTCCATCCTTCCAAGGTGGGTAAAATGAGGACCCAGATTGTTGTTGGGGTCAATATGCTGACTCTGTAAACCGTTTAGAGAGGGCTGTAAAGCATTGTGAAGTGGTATATAAGTGCTATTGCTATTAAGGTTTTACAAGAGCCATGCTACTATCTCTTCCATTACCCAATTTCTTAAAATGTAGTTTGAAGACATCCTGTGTCCCTCTTTACTTCTGTTACTTCACAAAGCTGGTTAAGTGGGTGCCAGAATAGCAATATAGCAATAGCAGTAGACTTATATACCGCTTCATAGGCCTTTCAGGCCTCTCTAAGCGGTTTACAGAGAGTCAGCATATCGCCCCAAAAATCTGGGTCCTCATTTTACCCACCTCGGAAGGATGGAAGGCTGAGTCAACCCTGAGCTGGTGAGATTTGAACCGCTGACCTGCTGATCTAGCAGTAGCCTGCAGTGCTGTATTTAACCACTGCGCCACCTTGGCTCATCCTACCTCCCTCTTGTACTTTAACTCCCCTTTTATTAA